AATTTTTTTATTAATTTCTACCTTATAAAAATTAGTGAATTTTAATTGGTTCTTGTTCGATGGACATTTGTGTTTAATTAAATACATAGTATCAGGCTGTTAATTACTGAGTATATAAATGTTTTGGTGGTTTATTGGGTTATGTCAAAACATTGCTTTTAAATTAGCTAGCTGTAAATTATCATCAATAATATTTTATACTTTTCAAAACAAGTTGAAAATAAACAACGCTTTTAAAAATATATTTGTGAGTAATTATGAATCTCAATTAAAATAAAATTTAAAGGACGTATAGGTAAATGTATCGTTTAAATCATTAAAAGAAAAACAAAAAATAATGAGCACTTTTATCTGTCCTATATAAATTGCGAAATCCTAAAGTGGCATATACTATTATAAAATTAGTATCTTTCATTTTTATTTTTATTTATCTTAATTGGTGGAACGTTCATTTATAAAATTCTCCTTATCACAATTCCTATGTATTACATTATATGCTCATGAATTTCACAAAATTAATGATAACAGTAGATAATAATTTAACAAACAAACGCGTATATTGCTTTAGGGTTAGTAAAAGCACATATTCATTTACTAATGAAATAAATAGAATAAATCATCATTTTTAGGCTCACAGAAATTAAATCTCAATTAAAAATTACTGGATACAAATATTTTTACCTGCAATGTTATTGTGGTAAATCCAATGTTAAAGTGTGAATTTGTAAAAAACAAATTTATTCCTTAAAAGTATCGTATTTATAAAAACGATTTTTCTGTAAGTTCAGTTTACGTTAATGTAGACAGGTGTATCCTTGAATAATTGTCCTTATAAAATTGGGTTACCATTTAGAAGTTTTGACATTAATAATATAATTGTTTGGAAATCAAAGACGTGTACATTAAAAGTCAACACTAAATGCTTCATATTTTCATAACAAATTGACGATTGTTTTAATTAAGTGTTTTTATTTAATACCGTGGCCCACAAATAACGAAAATCATTGTACTGATACACGTATTTTCATTGGGTTTCTGACTAAATTTTCTGATTTAAATTCTTCAAATATGTATACTAATTAGGTATAAACCGAGTTAAATTTAATATAGTGCATATTTAGATTATCATTAATCAATTATACTTTGAGCTTTGGGCAAGATTGCGTTCCCCTTCATTGTGTTATTCTACAACCCTTTCGTAATGTAATACCTACCTACGTTATTATTAAGAGAATCCTTTTGATTGGTTAAGGCAGGATCGTATTTGATCTATTGAGTCCCTCAGCAGTTTAGGAAAAATGAGTTGCTATCTGTAATACTATGTCAGAGGCTATTTCTAAAGGAAATGACAATGACTTTTTTACGAGGAAAACAATATGCAAAATAAACGAGTGATGATTTAATATTTAATCCTGGTTCGGGACGAAAAAAGGTGCGGGTGAAAGCAGAATCCTGACCGATGGAATGTTACATTCACAGGATTTTCGAGTCGGTTTACTGGGGTTGACAACTTTTTCGTAATAATTAATTTACCACTGCATACGCGTGAAATATAGCAATGTATTATTGAAGTAGAACTATTGTTATAACGATAACAAATATATTAATATGAAAAACTGATTATAGTAACCGTTAAATTGTTAATTCTATAGAGAATTTTATTTTATTTCTTTATGAAACTATTTATACGGTCCTCCGTTAGCGACAATAATATTTCCTTATCTTTCTTTCAATATACTTGTATATATAAGCGATTGTGACCTCTCGGTTGAAATAACAAAAGTAAGTCCAGTGACGTCAGTCGTTTTAGCGATTGGTTGCGTTAAAGAGTGGTTAGAAGGGGGGGAATTCGTGCCTGCCCGTCCATAGTTTGTTGTGCCGCGTAGGCAGAGAGCGGAGCAGTTTGCGATTGACTTTCGTGTGGGATATACTGCAGCTAGTAGTTGAAACATCGTGTTATCCATTTAGCTAGTAGTAATTAGATAGTAATAAGTAGTAAAGAAATTGTAACCGCCGAAGTTATAGTAGAGACACCGATACCCCTCTCGAGTTGCGTTTAAGATTGTGAAGTGAATTTTTGAAAATTAGTGATACGTTTTTAAAAGGAATATGTCTACAGCAGTCATGCGACAAAACTCTATGTTTGAGTTTACCGATTTTTTCGCCAAAGTAAGTTAATTGATGCTATCACTATATTAAATTACACTTGACTACATTATTAAACAGATACCTAATGAGTGAGTGTGTTTCTCTTACTGCATTGGCTGGGCGATTTCTAGTACCTAAGAAAATTAAAATTACGTAAAATGTAATTTACGCAATATTTTAATACGGGCATATAAACGTAGTAGATGTGTAGAGGAATAATAACAATTATGAGGATACTTTTCTTATCTTAAGAAAGGTACCCACTGCAAAATATCTTACGTTGATATTAGTTTCACCACTCCCGCAGTCCTTATTGCTCTGGCAACTGAGATTCAACAGGTTTCAATACACCTGTTGAATGTTGCCATCAAATGGTACTGGCAGGATTACTATCAGTAAATACTGATGCGTTACTACTTTTTCTATTATTTTGGGTGGTTTTTATATATTTCATAGCTACAAAGCGATATGGACAAGTGGTAGGTGAGTAGGTATATCATCTAATAAATCAGTTTCCATTTACTTAGACGTTAATGGCTACTGAGCGCCATTACAATTACCAATTCAACCCTAAGTTCTATTAAGTTCCTAAATTATTTATTATGTTTTTGATAACTTCGTGAGGAGATTTTCGACCTACCTACCAGCAGATTTCTCAGTAGATAAACCATATTATTTCTGATGAAACTCTAGGAAATTCCGAATCTTGATCTGCTAATTGAATTGCGAGGAGTACTTATACACATACATGTATGCTATGTTTGAACAGATAATTTTGTTTACGACTTTTGTGACTGATAGCATTATCAGTTAAGTGTAGTGATAATATAGAAGCATTTACGAATTGGAAATTTTCCTCTCTATAATTAAACCATTTTGTAGGGTTTCTTGGCGACTCATGTGTGATGCACAACAGCATTCGAATTAACGTTTATTTTGCAGAAGTCCTAAATTTAACTCACTGTAAAAGGCTTCAGCGACGAGAACGATTTGTCAAACCGGGGTGCATTTACAAGACTAATATAATTATGTATTTATTGTTCATTGTTTTTGGTTTGTGAAAATAAATATTGTTAATAGGTATAATAGTATGCATATGTATAGTTGTGCGGATGTCGCTAAAATTTATTCGTTCTTAATTGCTTTTAGTTTTCTTGAAATTCAAATGATTGTTGGAGTACTTTCTCTAAATGACAATCAAATCTAGTTGCGGAAGGAAACAATAACAACCTTGCACACCCTTTTTAATAGGGTGGTAAAGCATCCGTAAAGTTTGTAGGGCGCACATAAATTGCACGAATGTTTGTATTCCTACACATAAATTCCGTGTCAACATTCACATCTAGTTTTTTTAATTTCAATAGAAACTCGATAATAAGAAGTATATATTTGTGCGTTAATAATTTAATTTTAGAAGTGTTTTTTTAGTATATTTAGATATGTATCGCATTCCCTTTTAATGTTTAAATTAATGTTGGATTTGTCCTTATCCAATTCCACACCCAATACCGTTGTTTATAAACGGTCTTTTCAGTAACAAAACACTTGGCTGTTAGTCGTTGGTCTTATTTTTTTTTGTAACGCCAGAGCACGTAATCTGTCATTCTTTAATTGAAAGTGGTATATGTGTACAATTTAGAGCATTAATAATTAAATTAACGAATTGTCGTGAATTAATGCCATTTGGTATTTATAATAACAAATGATAAGTGGGCGTGAGTTCAAGGTTGCGCACATCCGCCTTTCGTTGAGATTATTTTTGTCGCGTTAAAAATGTCTTTCTAGTTTTAGAGTGCCTCCAATTGTACGCGCATACATATGTCATCGTTGTTTTCATATAAATTATAATGTTTTGGCTGATACTAACGGACTGGGCGCTGACCGTCTTTTAAATATACGCGTAAAATTAAACATTAAAAAAATAAAAATTATGTGTATAATACGTGTCAAAGATCATCAACGACCACATGAAACTAATTTTCTTCTTTCCATCGGGAACCAGAAAAATGGTACCTACCTCATGTATCCCTGGCAAAATTGAGTAACGCTCTACTCGATTAATCATAAAACAAAACTAATTGGCGATTGATCAAAATTTTAATGTTGTATTATATCTACTTCTATTCAGCAATGTGGTGGAATAAATTACCAATTGAAACCAAACCAGAGCAAACAAAATGCTCTTTCTAATTCATTGTTGTACTGAGGTAATGTAGCAATTTCCAGTTTGGTGAGAATTGTATTAGATTACAGGAAGGGTAGATGTCTAAAATATGTATAATTTGTATCTTAGTCTTATCGTTGGTTTAAATTTAAATTATTACAGTGGTTTCGGTATACAATTTTGACAAAAAATGTTGTGTCTAAACAAGTAGACGATTCATTTCAATAATAGCATAATTTTTCGTTTGGAGACATTATTATTTTGCGCTTGTTTTCTCGATTACAATAAAATAAGGTGTTCGAATGTTTTATGGTTTTGTTTACCAGGCGATACGTATAATATCTACCGCATGACTTTCAGGAGGTTTAACATAAAGAGAATCAGTCAGCAGGTTATATCCGGATCATATGAGGAAGGCCAACACTAAGATATTTACGTACACGCATTTAACTGTCTTTGTGTACAACGTAGTAATGCGTATGTTCGCTTTTTCGAGTTAAAAATATCTTGCTTAGATTTGGAGTCAAACGAAAGTGAATACGCGGTAAAATCGGTTTTTCTCGTCCTAGTAGGTTCATCATCATAAGGTGGCCAGTCACTCTACTTCGCATTTCCCTAAAACTGGAACATCCTACACCCTTAACTATTTGCGTTCAGTAATCTAGGCCTACCTCTACACCTGTTTCTGCCTCTAATATGTCTCTGACTAGACCTTGCCTGAATAGGTGTCCTACCAACCTATAGAGTCCTTTGTTGTATTATTTCTAAACTAGTAGGTTACGCAGACCGTATTTCGTTTGTTATTAAAAATGCAGCCGAAGCAGGATTTGAAGAAGTTATAGAGTAAAGTTGCCAAAAAGATAATGGGAAATTCAAGAGCAGTTTTGGGAGATCGGTTTCGTTAGTTTCTTCACGCAACTCCGTACGATGTTAAATGTTGCCTCTTGCAACCGGTTTTCAAAACTTGAAGCCGCATCTTAAATAGGTACTGGTTTTGAGAGAGATCTTTTACTGGAGAGTAAACACTAAAACTGTTGCTTTTTGATTTTACTTTTCAAATCCCAATCCAACTGCGAAAAAATTCTTGTATCGAGCGGAGAATTGGCCATTTAAGCGAAACATCGTTTTATTACATGCTAATTTTTGTACAGAATGTAGAAATCTATTCTGTTGTACTGTAAAACCTCACAATTATTTAGACAATGGTGATTTTTAGCAGATAATGTGTGCTGAATGTGGCGATACTGTATATAGGACAAACGGGTAAATCAATAAAGGCAAGATTAAAAGAACATCGTTCAGCAGCAGAGAAAAAGAAAAATGTGCAAGTTTATTATAACTAAGCATTGGAAATTAAATGATGTCCAAATAATGGTATTAACATGGTGTATAAGTAAATAGAACTCACTAGTAATAGTTCACCATTACATCTGTTGGAGTTCCCCTGTCTTATGCCAAATGGGATTTAGCAATAGGAATTACATTAATAAATTTGCGTGTTTAGTATTGTTTTGGCAATTAAAAATCGGATATTTTATCAATCTTTTCAAGGTGGCTGTAGGATTACACTTTACCCACCTTCCTTTATCCTTCTCGGATCTTTCTGAGGTTTCTTTCGGAAAATGAAACCGAAAGAGCTGGTTTATATGGTTTTATCGTGTGCTACTGTTTTGAAATCAAAAGTAGGATGTCTCTCCCGCCAAAGAATTCGTTCAGAAGTGTCATGCCACGTTGTCAGTAACTCTTTCATATCACGCAACACAGTCGTCGCTTTCACATCTCGGTTCGATTTGGTTTATACCAGCCAGGCGGGTTTGTCATTGCACCGCCCGAGAAAGAAAGTAGGCTTTGAGAACGCACTTTTACCAATTGTTTTCCGCAGATGAAAGTGCACAAAAGTCTTGGACAGCGCGAGCATTGGATGCTGTCGGGTGCTGTCTGACTCTTCTAGATCGATTTGTTAATTGGAATTTAAAAAAATTGGTGATTTGATCGAAGAGTTAGTTGTTGTGTCGAGGTATATGTAGAGACGTGTTGTTCGTGTGAAAGTATTAGTCATGCTCAAGGTTACTGTTGTTACTATTAAGTGTGGGGTGTGCTGTTTATCATCGAATTTTATGAATCATTTGACTGGAACAAGCGATGTTTTGATGTGACGTTTCAGTGAGATTCAGTCTCTAGTTACCTATAAGGATTCATAGTCAGATGTCGGCGCCTGATGTTTCTAAGGTTTGTGTAAACCACTGGTTTTATCAATTTTTGTTTTAATAGGTTTCAGTGCCTAATAAGTAGACGCTTCCTTTTTGAATAATTTTGAATTAGTAGGTAGGGTGAGACGCCATAACAATACTGTACGTATAGCAGGGTTTAGAACACGGGTGACTACTCTACATGACCGCGGTCCCACCAATATTTTTTACCGAAACTTTCAGAGATACAAAATCAGTTTTGGCTAAAGGAATTTACGCATCTATAAGTGGGATAGTCAGAAAGGGGCGTCCAAATTTAGTTTCAGTTTGGTACGTAAATTTTTTTAGCCACATAAATATAAGTTTACTTAAAAATATTAGTAGCACTAATATACCACCATGGCCCATCGATCTATCGCGCAGTCCTAATTGCTTATGTATCTTACCCTTTGTTGATGGAAAGTTACAGGAAATTGTAGCGCAACTTATCGTATTTTACATGGTTCGAAGGATAGAAAGTAACACTTTCCAGTAGCTGAACAACGGGTTTATAAAACAATTTAATTATGATTTAAAAAATGTCAATTCATTAATATCCGTTGACAAAAAAGCCCGATAAAATAGCATCATAAGAAGCCCACAGGTTTATTTTTGTTGTAATCGCCCCAAAGCATAAATAGGTAGATTATTTTTTTTTTGTTTTGTATAAAGTGTATAAGTTTGTTATAACAATAAATGTGCTCGTGTACATAAAATAAGTATGTAGAATAATGCGTCCCACTTCGTTAATTTAGTGAAAGCGAAAATGCCCGAAATAGAATCTTGGTTTTATTAAAGAAACAACTTTGTTGAATTTGTGTTGTTGAAATCGTTTTGGTTATATTCCATAATTATTGCAAAATTTTTTTAACCGACAAATTTTGCTATCTGCAGTTTCTATTTTCTATAGAAGAGTATTTTAATTAAACGGAATTATGTTTTTTTGTGTGATTGGCAAAGTTGTTTCTGTATTATACAAAAGTATGTAGGCACTTACCTACACGCAGTTTATTAGTTGTCCTTATCATTGTTGAAACGTTATTTTTTGCAACTGTGGAAGTCGTTCACCTTTTCTTGTTGCACTGTATGTTATAGTTATATCGAGTGGTTTCAAATTGATTTAATGCAGTTCCTTGTAGAAGGCTGGGCGGCATTCATTATTAACAAAAGAAAGCCGACTTTTAGAAACAAACTTCGGCAACAGGCCACTCCTCAAACTCAAAACTTCCCGTTAAGCGCGTGGGTTCATTTAATTGTTGTTTTATCTGTTTAGAAGACCACGTAATCTGTAAAAAATGGAACTTTATAGTAAACTAATCCCTTATTACGTACGTGTTGTATTACATTCATTTCTTTTATTTAATGTTGGGTTTTAATAATAATAACAGTAAGGTTATGTTAGTGCCTTACAATTAATTAAAATTAGACGTAGGTTATATTAGATTATTATTAATAATTGCGACGCTAAACTAAGATGTAACCGCCCACAATATTGTTACAGATATTCATGAATATTAATTTTTGAAGTCAATAGCCTTTCTATTGAATATTTGCTTGTGAATAATGTATTAAACGTTAAATTAAAAGTTTTTATTTAGTGTTAATTTTGTATTAGTATTTTTTAAAAGGTTGTGCAACTTCCAAACTGAATTAATAATATTATTGTACCTGTTAGTAAACAGGTGCAATGGGTATTTTAGGATTAAAGATAGGCATTTACCTGTATTTCACACCCGCTAGAGTAAAAATTATTTTCGAAGTAGGAAGTGTAAATTAATAAATAAACCGAAAAAAGGTTCATCCTAGTCACCACACAAAACCTGTTCACTGCGGACACGTGTTACGTCCACGAGACTCTCGGTCGTGAGTGTGGGCGTAACACTTGTCCACGATGAAGTGGGAACTATAGGGCGAGATTCTTTTTAGTTAACTAAAACTTATATTGGTTTTTGAAAAACACATAAAATACAATATTTTAAAATGATTCATGTATTGTTGAGAGTAACCACCTAATGTATATTTTCTTATTGTTTCAGAATGCTATCCCAAATCCAGACACGAACAATTCCGCGAACAATTTGGCGTTAAACAGTCAAACCATTGACGCCTACAGGGTGCGTTATGCCCTGACGAGGATGAGTTCGACGCCGGCGACGGCAAGCGCCTCGGCCGCCGCCGCCACCACCAATCTAGTGAACAACATCCTGGGAAACCTGAGCCAACAGGTGTCCGCTTCGGCGGTCCACCAACAGCACAGACGATTGGAGCGGACCCAGTCCGCTCCTGCGCCGAACGCGGCCGCCCTGTCCGCAGCCGCGGCAAGCGTCAACACCTCCCGTTACAAGACGGAACTGTGCAGGCCCTTCGAGGAGTTCGGAGTGTGCAAATACGGGGACAAGTGCCAGTTCGCCCACGGCGCGGCCGAACTGCGCACTCTCGCAAGACACCCCAAGTACAAGACCGAATTGTGTCGCACCTATCACACGGTCGGTTTTTGTCCCTACGGTCCTCGGTGTCATTTCGTGCACAACCAGGACGAAGCGATCCGCGCCACGCCTACCCCCGCGGGGACCGCAGCGGCCCTCATCGCACCGCGACAACAACAACAGACGCAGCACCATCATCAACAGCCCAGGTCTCGGCCGGCCGCTCTGAGTCCGTCTCTGTCGCTCGAGAGTCCTAGTTCGCCGTGCAGTCTCAGCCAGTCTCCTACCTCGTCTCTGGGCTCGTTCTTCAGCAGCGAACCGGAACTGCACTCGCCCGGCACGGACGACCAACGCCTACCCGTTTTCAACAGGATCGCCGCACCAGCCCCGTTGCTGTCCTGGAACGAGCTCTTGCTATAATAGTGCGCGCGGGGTGAGACGAAAGCTATTCCAAACAATTCTACTCAGACGATTTATTTAAATACAGTGTCTTATTTATGTTTATTATTATTATTATTATTATTATTCAATTCCGCTCGAGAGAAGCGGGGTGATTTTGATATTTTGTGATTTTTTACTAATTAAGTCCCCTAGCCCTTAGCAAACTTGGTAGTAGTCGTGTTTGCGACAGTTGCAACTGATACAGCAAGCATTTTGATAATAATTAATTTACGAATTCAGCCGCAAGTGTTGTACTTTAATTTGAATCGTTTTCGGTCCCCGGTCGAGGGGAAGTACCTTTTAACTTCATAAAAATAAATTTATTTTTCAGAATCGTAACAATTCTGTTTTTTAAACGAGTGACTCGCATCCAATGCTGACCGGTTCGGACGCTACTTGTGTTTTTATTTCAAGATATTTTACCTGCTACGCATTTTTTTTTCTTCTTTGTATTAAACTTATTGGACAACGAGCAAAAGACTGTTAATTTAAGTGCAATCACACTCAAGTCCATCAAGTTTTTTCGGTTCGAAATTTGCAACCACACGTTTTCAGTAAATAATGCACCTACCTGGTAGAGAAACAGGTTTAATTTGATATATGAACCTCAGGGATTCGCAGTCTGGCGTAACTACCAAACACTTAAAAAAAGAATACGTTCGTATTTACCACTTTGCAGAACTACGAATATAAGCAAAAAAATTGACAAAAAGTGTCTACCTAAATAGCGGTACCTACTATTTTTTTATTAAGTAAGTCCTATTGCATTTACTATTTTCTTTTTTGTGTTCAGTTTTGCGAAAAATAAAGCTAAGGAGAAAAAACAGTACCATATATCATTCTTACGCTAACTACATACATAATATAATAAATAACAATCAACGATCTCATTATCAGACACTTGTTTGTCTGTAAGCTGTGATAAAACTAAAGCTGATGTAAAAAAAAGGAAATAACAGTAACGTGTGATAAAAAGTTACTGGATTCGACCTTTGCTTTCGCAATTTGTTGTCGGTTAATAGAGCCGACCGAACATGTCCGCGTCGAATAGTTTCTTATCAAAGGGATCATCCGAGAATTACACCTTTGGAATTTTTAATCTGTGATAAAAATACATACCTACAAGCGTGCACACAACTGCTTGTATTTTCATTAAACAAATTTATAACTATTTGTCTATCTGTATCGTCTTATCTGTCGTCGCTTTTGTAAACATGATTCTACTTGAACTTTAGAATAATAACAAGTCGAAGTCGTTCTGGTACGACTAACTTTCACAATTATATTATTATTATTATTCTTATTGAAAGAGAAACTATATTTATAGTAACTGCGTACCTACATATATAATTAAATACAACAGCAACATTTATTGGAGAAAACTATTTCAGAAAATATTCCGTCAATACAATTAATTATTAGCTAATGGCAGCTGCTTTTAATTTATGAAAATTTTGGGTCAGACGTTAAATACTTAAATAATTTACTTGTCCTACTAATAATAATAACAATAATGATGGTAATTCTTTTCGATGTGGTTCTGCAATATTTATTTATTTATATGATGTAAAGTAGCGTAGAGTAAAGAGTTTTGGTTCGTTGACAGGTCGGTACTCGAAGGGATTCGCTCGTTTATCATGCTACTAGGTTTGCGAGGGGCCGCCGAGTTTTTTTTATTTACTAAATAATGATAAGAAGAAGGCGTGTTTTATACGAATGTTATTGAGAATATGTGAAAGTGCAAGTTATTTTAGTTTTATAAAATGCAAGAAGAGTGTCCTGCCCGGTCTCCATTTTCTGATATATCTCTTAACATTCCTTCAAGTCTTAAGTTTATTTATTTTTCAGCTGTTCATTGATTTTTCGCGTGCCTTCAGAGCGACCGGGAGGCCCGGAATAAGTTTTTTGTTATTTATACCATTTATTTAATATTTGTGCGTTTCTAATGATAATGTTATGTAGTTATTTTATTATTTTAATTTATATGTAACTTATTATTTATATACCGCAATACTGTAGGGGTGTGTGACGAGTGCAGAAATACAGCACCAAGACTACCTGTGTATATTATTTATATTTAGCTAATAATCTATCTTTGTATCATTATCAATAAATTATATTCTGTTCTTTACGCTCGCTTTGTCTGTTCGCCTCGCTGAGCATACCTGAACCACTGCTCCCTACTGCCCTACCTATCTGATAATTACACACGAACACATAATACATATATATATATTTACCTACAAATCTTGTTATATAAGCGTGCATTCAACGTGGAACGATCTACTGTCGACCAATAACAAAATGAAACATTTTTAATAAAATCGACAACAAATCTGCTGCAGAAACTAGATCAAAGTAAGTAAATCCTCGAATAGGATTGTTTTTTTGAAAAAAATACTTATCTTAATAAGATAACATCACATTTTATTATTTATAGATAATAACCTGTTTATTCTTTATAATTAAAATAGATAACAACTTGCTCTATTAATAGTGAGTTTGTAATCAATAATAAACGCTTCATCTTTATTACTTTGGATTTTTTAATATATGACAATTAGTGAGAAAAAATGGTAGATATCTAATTTAAGATTTTTTTCATAATCATTTCAAACGGTGGAATATGAACAAAAAAAATAGAATATTTGAAAAACACGTATTTTTGACGATTTTAGTTTGTGATTTCCGTACACGGAGTAAATGAAAAAGGAAAATTTACCTGAATATTAAAGCGATATTTACAATTTATCCTTTCTAAGCCCGTTGCTTCATAAGCAAAAAAAAAAATAAAAATTACAATTTGCACCCGAATTAAATAAATATACTAGATACATTAATTGATATTACAAATTAAATTGTAATAATTAAGAAACTTGAAATAATTTTTAATAAACGTCAAAATTGAGATTATTATTTTAGTTACCTAATAAATTCTATTATTTCAATCATTTACAATTAAAAATTGTAGTTTTTGCATTGTCATAAAAATTTAGTTTTCTCCGCGTATATCAAAAAAACTATTCATCATTTTCATTGTTTTCTGCAGGTCATCAAAACATTGAAACAATAGATATCTCCTAACGACAGACTACCGCAAATAATTACATTACAAAAAGATAATTTTATTTACGCTTTGATATTTTTTTCGATGCTGTTCCAGGAAGTAAATAAACTTTACAAAATATTGCAGGTAAAAGAAATCTTCATTCATACAAACAGGTAGGTATTTACTAGAAAAGCAATAATAAAAAATAATTTCAAAATCTTTTTTGCTGGTAATCGTTAGGTAGTTGATGTATGTGTACAGGGTCATTTATTGTATTATACCAGGGGACCGTGAAAGGGTCGGGGAATTTTAGTACTCAAAGGGCCTTTAAATCAAAAAAAAAAAGCTCAACGCTGATTTTTTGTTTATGAATAACTAAATACAACGACCTTTTGTTGGTCTCATTTATTTGTATTGAAAACTTTGCTTCTGTCTATAATTACTTATTTTTTTTTATTTATCATTCGTTGTTCGTGTGAAAGTATTAGTCATGCTCAAGGTTACTGTTGTTACTATTAAGTGTGGGGTGTGCTGTTTATCATCGAATTTTATGAATCATTGGACTGGAACAAGCGATGTTTTGATGTGACGTTTCAGTGAGATTCAGTCTCTAGTTACCTATAAGGATTCATAGTCAGATGTCTGCGCCTGATGTTTCTAAGGTTTGTGTAAACCACTGGTTTTATCAATTTTTGTTTTAATAGGTTTCAGTGCCTAATAAGTAGACGCTTCCTTTTTGAATAATTTTGAATTAGTAGGTAGGGTGAGACGCCATAACAATACTGTACGTATAGCAGGGTTTAGAACACGGGTGACTACTCTACATGACCGCGGTCCCACCAATATTTTTTACCGAAACTTTCAGAGATACAAAATCAGTTTTGGCTAAAGGAATTTACGCATCTATAAGTGGGATAGTCAGAAAGGGGCGTCCAAATTTAGTTTCAGTTTGGTACGTAAATTTTTTTAGCCACATAAATATAAGTTTACTTAAAAATATTAGTAGCACTAATATACCACCATGGCCCATCGATCTATCGCGCAGTCCTAATTGCTTATGTATCTTACCCTTTGTTGATGGAAAGTTACAGGAAATTGTAGCGCAACTTATCGTATTTTACATGGTTCGAAGGATAGAAAGTAACACTTTCCAGTAGCTGAACAACGGGTTTATAAAACAATTTAATTATGATTTAAAAAATGTCAATTCATTAATATCCGTTGACAAAAAAGCCCGATAAAATAGCATCATAAGAAGCCCACAGGTTTATTTTTGTTGTAATCGCCCCAAAGCATAAATAGGTAGATTATTTTTTTTTTGTTTTGTATAAAGTGTATAAGTTTGTTATAACAATAAATGTGCTCGTGTACATAAAATAAGTATGTAGAATAATGCGTCCCACTTCGTTAATTTAGTGAAAGCGAAAATGCCCGAAATAGAATCTTGGTTTTATTAAAGAAACAACTTTGTTGAATTTGTGTTGTTGAAATCGTTTTGGTTATATTCCATAATTATTGCAAAATTTTTTTAACCGACAAATTTTGCTATCTGCAGTTTCTATTTTCTATAGAAGAGTATTTTAATTAAACGGAATTATGTTTTTTTGTGTGATTGGCAAAGTTGTTTCTGTATTATACAAAAGTATGTAGGCACTTACCTACACGCAGTTTATTAGTTGTCCTTATCATTGTTGAAACGTTATTTTTTGCAACTGTGGAAGTCGTTCACCTTTTCTTGTTGCACTGTATGTTATAGTTATATCGAGTGGTTTCAAATTGATTTAATGCAGTTCCTTGTAGAAGGCTGGGCGGCATTCATTATTAACAAAAGAAAGCCGACTTTTAGAAACAAACTTCGGCAACAGGCCACTCCTCAAACTCAAAACTTCCCGTTAAGCGCGTGGGTTCATTTAATTGTTGTTTTATCTGTTTAGAAGACCACGTAATCTGTAAAAAATGGAACTTTATAGTANTGTTGAGAGTGAAGGCGTTTTTCTAAGACACTAGAAGGTATATCGTGTATCTTTATTTAAATATAATTTCCTCATCAATTAACGACCATAAAAAGTAGTTTTCTTTTCCTTTTTTATGTTTCTTTTGCTTACGCGAATCTATTCTACTAATTTATGATATTGCTTTGTAAAATTTTAAAACTTAACAACCCATCGTGATTATTTATCTCCTTAAAAAATTTTCTGTAAATAAATACATAATCCATTCCTGATTTTGGAACCAATAAAAACATATTTTTGGTGGTCTATACAGATTAGGACATAGAGCAACTGCCGATTCTAAACATAAAAATAATATTATAAAAGAAATGTATATTGGGTGTTGATTTTGAGAGAACAGTAATTCCAAAAAATTTTAGAGGATTCCTTTATTAATTGAAAAAGCTCATTCTAATCTATTTAAATTAGTAATGGTTTTTGAATTTTTGTAATAAACCTCAATCCCATAGATATCTTTGTCTGATCAAAACATTCCATTTTCATGTCTAGAATTTTGCAGTTGTCCTATGAACCATCTTGTATACATACTTTTAGACTTTTTTGAATGGGTAAAAAATATTTTCAGTTAATTTTTTCGGTGTTTGCTGCTATTTCAGCCAATGTGGCTAGACCAGATAAATCGTTAGTAAACTGACTTATAATAGCATGATCGTTTGGACTTTCAAGTCTGGTAATTGAATTCTTGTTTTTCCTTTTCTTCGATCCAACGAGACAATTCTCTTCATTTTTGGGAACAGTTCCAACACAATTTGACTTTGAATCGTTCTCTTCAATTTTATGCCTTATCGGTTTTCGCTTCTTATTGGCCCTTTTACGTTGCACATAAGCATCGTAACTCAAACTGGGAAGTTCTGAAATCCTCAAGTCCAAATCGAAATAATTTTGACTTGAAGAATTTCCTTCTTCCGAGTTTTCCGATTGAGAACTTTTAGGTCTATCTTCGTCCATCTTTTCGTCTTTAGTGTTTTCTAGTTTGCTATAAACGTTCTTATTTGTACGTTCGGCCAAACGCTTGATGGTGTCTTCCAAGTATGGAGCAATCAAATTTTGCTTGGAAGAAGATTTTACATGAAGAATTGGAGATCTGGGTGTCTCGTACTTATATTTGTCTTGCATTGCACCTTTCTTGGAGTGCTTGTTTCCAAACAGTTTTCCTTCTACCATAAATTCGGCGTATCTTCTGCCCTTGCAAGATCGAATGGACTTTCTGGGTTCTTTTGAATCGTTGGATTTCATTATTTCATCGTCTTTGTTAGCGGAAAATATACTGTCCACGACCTTATCGACCAGATCCTGTTTGGTAACGTTACCATCGTCCTCTTCTTGATAATTTGTGGACGATTTGGTGTTGAAAATATCACGGACGACGTTTTTATTGTCGAAATTGCTGAAATTTTCGCTGATTCTCTTCTTGGGAGGCACACTGGTACTCACCTTTATGCTATTCTCTGGTGTATTAAAAGTTGAAGTATCTGTTTTCTTCGTTGAAGATGTACAATTGTTTGTTTGGAGGGAGGTAGTCGATTGAGCTACTGATTTTGATTTATCCACGTCCATGTATGTGGTATCCGACTTCATGGTACTGTTGGGGCTCAACAAAGAAGTGAGACTGCCTAGCTGGGATTCGTCAGCCAGTTTTCCAGGAGTGAATTCGGCGTTAGATATACTGTTCTGTGGTGGGCTGGAAACCGGTGACATTTTTGATGGTAAAGTGGTTGTAGGCCGGGTTGTGAGGGTACGCAGGGGTGGTGCGGGTAACTTGTACCATTTGAAGTCGGGATTCGCAGAGAAAAATGCATCCTTGTACTGAAACAAAAACGATACAGTGATGAGGTTTTCTTTGAAAAGGAAAGAACTTACTTCTTTGGCTAAACTGGTATAAGCGCTTTTGTCAGTAGTGTCTAACATTGCCCACCATTCTCCCAATATTCTCGTGATGCCTCTGTTTTCCAAATTTGGAAATTTCAGACGTACTATGGGTCGATGCTTTTTACAAAATATCAGAAATGCATTCATGGGTCTTCTGGCGTGATGGGATGGAGAAGTCGATTCTTTTTCAGGTGTAGGCGGTCTTGGTGACGATTCCTTCTTATCATCTTCTGCAACCTCATCGTTTGCCATTTCATCTTGCACGTCTTCCTCTTTTTGTTCCGATTCTTTCGATGCCCAGGTTTTTATAATGTTAGCGTTCTTAGCGGAGGATTCTTTCAATCCACATTGTGCTTTCTTTTTCATAAAATTATCCTTTGTCCAAACATCATTGATGTTTTTGTCTGTGTCCGTTTGGTTGTTGTTATTGTTATTATTATTGTTATTGTTATTACTCAAATTTTCTATCGATACCAGGGAGGGATAGTTGTTCGCATGAAGGTATAATTCCCTGTCGGAAACGTCCGGAGTGAATTTCTTTTGAAGAAAGAAAGTGTTGTTGTTTTCGGTAACAGAACTCATTTTTTTTTCTGAAACAAAAATCATGTTAGTTTATCTTTGTATGCTTTGTAGATATAATTAGATTTCATTAGGCAGGAAAACAATTGTTTTCCAATGGCGTGCATAACCAATTACCATTTTATTAAATACAAAATAAGTAAAAAGGTGGTAACTGTTTCAATAACGCAGTGTGGCAATTAAAAATAAATAAAAACTTTTTATAACAACTACATTTATTCGAACAATGTAGACTATTAAGTTATTTTAATGACAGTGGCTGAATTAATTACGACGAACAAAAGACGTAGGTATTTGATAAATGCAATAAATGTTTAAAACTTGTTTTATAAAAATCAAATTCGTGTTTATATAACCTGAATACATAATTGTACCAACAACGTTTACAAAGTTAGAAATATCTATGCAATGGGTCGGTACCGTTGTTTTTGTTTCCTATTTTGATTATGTGTTACGGTGCAAAAAAAATCATAGGTAATATTTATATAGTACGATACGGGAAGTTATATGTATTATATGATGCCAAATATATATTTGCGGTGAGTGAAGAACTTCGAAAAGTACGTCGTGGTATACAAAAATTAATCGGTATATAATAATACCATCAGCAATCTTTTTGTTCGGTATATGTTTTGCCTTACCTGTATATTGTGCACCTATCTATACAGGTAGGGTAAAGGATTCACCAAACATTGACTTTACAGATATGAAGTCGAGATTGTCAGTAGTAATCTAGACTGCTACTTTTAATAAATTGTTTATTGTTTATAACAATTATTGTACCTATTTATTATAAGCAATTAGAATTAAAACAGCCGGAAAACGATTCAGGCTGACACAGTCGCGAATAAAAGGTGGTTATGAATAAAAATATAAAACGTTTTCTACTGCTAACTCCCACCAGAAAATAACAAAAAATTGGATGGCATTTTGATGACGTAATTCCGTTTTAATAAAAACACAACTACTTCGATGACTTTTGCTTGAGTAAATATTTTGAGGAATCCGCAGACGAAAGTTCATACATAAATTTTATGTACAATACGATATGCTTCGTTAATTACCGATTATTGTAAAATAGTCGCCATTTATAAATTAAGGAATTATTAACCACATGGTAACAGTATACTATGTATGTATTGTAAGTACATATACGTGCAGTCGGAAGTAGATATATATTATATTCCCCATTCAAGTTATTTCATAAATTATGATTTCGTCACAAGTAATGGGACGGGACAGATTTTTGTAGAATATATAACTATGATGGAGAAATTAAAGCAATAAAATTTGTAGTAAGGTAACACTTTCAATGTCACGTAGTTAGGTACCTATAAACTCATTATGTCATTAAAAAAAAAATAAAAAGAATACGAATGCTTTCAACAAGTGTACCTATTGCAAAAGTATGTCCTACTTATAAAACTTTCTTTAAAGGTCGGTAAAGTCATCGAAAATAATTGAAAATGCATCTGTGACCATCCTAACATTCAATAAAGCTGTAGTTAGAGACGAGCAATTATTAGAATTTAGTTGTACAATATAACACCTACTAACCATGTAGGTACCTACATAATAAAAATTTTTAACATACGAGAAAACTAAATAGTTGTCAAGGTCATTTGGTGGTAGAGGCACTTCTTACCTACATACACACATATAAACCATTAGAGACGATTTTGTAAATGAAATTTAACGCGGGGCATCAATTTATTTATGAAATAAATTTGTAAATTAATGTGCACGTTTAATTTCATTAAACAATTAACAATAAAGCGGTCGTATCGACAAATAACCCGATGTATTTACCTTGTCATACACACTCCATAAACGCAATCACATGACGTCACGTTTAATAATTATTGTAAGAAAAACAGGACACAATTTCACTGACACTTTACACAAACTACAGTTGTTAGGCCGTCTATTTTTATTAAATAAAAATTAATTTGATAGTTTCTGTCACATTATTTAAGATTGTTCTAGTATGAAAGAACCATATTCGAATGCAAGATGTCTGCGGTGTTTTAGTTCGACTGTCAGCTGTTCCCCTTACCTCGCTCCCATGAAATGTTGACAGTGCTCGTGATTGGTTGATTTTTCTTATTTTTAAACAAGGCCGAGTTTGACAACAATTTTCGACTACAGTGGGTACCACTTTAGAATTGTAATTTGCGGTTTTCGGGAATCGCGTCGGATTAAAGAAAAAAAATCAAATGCATCTTCCAATGGTAATAAATTTATTTATAATCGTTATCCTAAACAAAAATTTGTCAGTTGACGTTAAAAAGAAAAATTTTAGTGGGTGTATTCCTAAATTGTCATAAATACTATTATTATCTGATTATTATATACAGATGTGCTGAGACCTTGAAATACATAATTTATTCATTATGTGCACGTAAAAAATAATATAAATGAGGGCACCCCTTAATCATATTAATTGGTACATTTGCGTTCGCTGGAAAAATAACTTCACTACCTACCTACAATAATTCAAGAAAAATTTTCCTTTGTCATTACTTTATTAAATATTACTTCTAAATATACATAAGAGCTTATTATTATCAAATGTTTTAATTTAATAATAGAAAGGCAGTGTTTTTTTTTAAATAAACAAAGATTGTTTATTAACCAGCCTATTAATATATACCTCTTTAATAATTAAATACATAATAGAGTTTCTTATTTTACTTTTTATTATGAAAATACAAAATATTTTATTATTTAAATTATTGCCATTGTATAAATTGAATTAATATTATTATTTAACTAAAAACTTAGATAATTAATTATCTATCAATTATTGTAAGACACTCTCTCCTCCATTCCATCACTTTCTGTGACAAGGGCCCTTTCCAAAATAACTCTTCCTTCTTTGTATCTTTGATTATCTTCAGTGGCAAATTCATACATCCATCCTAGTTTTGCTTCACAAGCCTTGCAGGAAACGTCCCTTACCTCAACATAAGAAAACCAATACATATTGTCATTGTTTTCAAAAGAAAGCAAAAGGCAACTTATTGATTGCATAATTATAAATTAACATAAGTAAGACATATTTTTACCATATGTCTGCCTGTTAGCATAACTCTGTCCTGTACTTCGCTGTACGTGAGATTGACGACTTTATTGAATAAAAAAGCACGACCTGTGGCACCAGTGAACCTTGTGCTTATGAGTTCCGATCTATTTGTTAAATTCGTGTCACATCTTGCGCAGGAAAATAAACGACTTCCACCCATATGCTCGAGAAATGTTCGTCCCATTCTGTAAAATACAAAAAAAATAGTGTTATCATTCAACGACCTTTTCAAAACAAAGGCTATAGAACGTGCGTAGTTAGTCTTTGTCTTAAAAACAAAAAAATCGACGTGGTTTATTAGATAACAACATGGAATGTTACCTGATAATTAACTGGAAATCGAGTGCTGATAAATGTGAGGTCACTTATAATTAAAATTAGCTTGAAAAGACCACAAGAACGTCAACAGAAGCTCATCTGTGAACTCTAAAAACATACTAAAACCAAACAATGTCATCAGCTGATTGCTGTCATGTATCCTGCTTTGTAATTGGTCAGTAATTGGTGTAGAAGAAAATTGCAAAAATAAACGAATGAATTAGTGCAACTATGAAATTTGGTAGATTTAATCTTAACATATTATTTACAATAAAAAGTTAAAGCGAAAACAATTAAATGATTGCTATCAGTTCATTATTAAGTTTACTTAATCTATGGTTTACTTGTTATTGGTCGAGCCTGTTGACTTTTGGTTTGACGTTTAATAATTCAAAATCAAGGTTTTCTAACCTTGCTTTATTGTATAACAGTAGTATACTATAAAAAAGAAAGAACTGCATAAAAAGTGGCAAATTTTAAATTAAAAAGACATTTAGGGCTTCAAAAATATCTATATTATTACAGTACAACATAAATTACTTTGTATTTTATTCAATTAATGAAAACTATTAGCAAAAGTAAAGTGGAATTTCTAGATAGACTCCAAACAAACAATTGGCTGTCTTTTTGTATTACTAACGTGTTAAATGTGGCCTCTAGAGAATTTTATTTCTTATACTCAACAAAATGGATCTTTGCCTTCAATTATACACTTTGAAGAGGAAGACAAATTTGTAACTTTTACCTATGTGGAAGTCTTTAATTTCTATATAAAATTTAAAGGAATTATGGCAGAAATCATGCCCCGCAAGTGGCAGTGCATAGGGTTATTGATGGATTTTAATGAATACATTCCTTCTATTATCTTAAGGCAAGTATATAATCATAGCTAATTGTGTTGTACATCTGCTTGTATGAATTTGCATTGTTAAACATAGTGCATTTATGATTGTAGCTTACTGGATGAGCATACATTTATGTTTTTGGATCCAAATAGTGTGGACAATAGCAGCATAATTCATGAAATTGGACTTCAATGGATTATTACATTTCAAACACCCTTAACAAATTTAAAAAATACCAGTAAACATGTAGCTACCCTCATTGAAGGTTTAGAAGTATACTTTTTGGATTCTAAAGGTGATCATGAGTACTCATTTGATGATATAGCCTATGTTATTTCTTCATCGGGAACAACAGGAAAGCCAAAGCTGATACGAGTTCAGAATTTTTGTATATTTTCAAATATTTTATGTTTAAGGTATCTTATTTTGGTATTCTAATTGTGTTGTGTATAAGAATTCAACTATTTATTTTAGGAATGTTTTCAAATTGGAAAATAATGATGTTATTTACTTTGGGACACCATTGACTTTTGATCCTTTTGTTGTGGAGCTTTTTTTGGGACTTACACTTCCTTGCACCCTTGTATCAGTTTCATCGAGGATTAAATTAAACCCTACATTGCTTTACAAGATAATTTCTTTAAAGATGGTGTCTTTTTTACAAATTGTACCTTCAGTATTTATGCGGTGGGGGAACGGAATTATTGAAAACGTTCTAAACAGTTCTTCTTTGAAAATATTGGCATTTGGAGGCGAAAAGTTTCCTGAAACAATTCTTAATTTCAAAATTAATGAGAATATTACTATTTTTAATTTGTATGGTATATCTGAAGTGTCTTGCTGGGCTTCAGTTTCTAAAGTTTTGTTGAATGAGGAAATTAATTTGGGAATTCCATTAGAAGACACTTTACTTGAAGTGCGTGATAAGGAGGGGCTTAAAATTGTTGAAGGGCAAGGAGAATTATTTATTGGTTAGTATGTATGCATTTGAACATGCATAGTTTATTAATAATTGCTGTTTTCAGGGAGCAATTTGAGACTTTGTTTAATAGATAAGGAATCATCTTTAAATTTACAAAAACCTGTTTTCAGAGCTACTGGAGATTTAGTTAAAATAATTAACAATTCTTTTGTATTCATGACCAGAAAGAATAACGTAATAAAACGTTTGGGAAATAAAATAAGTTTGAGTCAAGTGGAAGAACTTATTTTTGAGAGAACTGGTTTAAACGCTGCTGCAGTTTGGTCTGAGCAAAATCAAAAATTCTACATTTTTATGTTAGTCCAAATTGCTTATCCGGAAATAAAGGATAAAGTAAAGGACAAAATTAAACGAAAATTAATACATTTACTACCCAAAGAGATGTTTCCGGATGTTTTGGAAATTGTTCCCGCTTTTCCGACCNGTGCGTCATTAAAAACTTCCGTTTTCGAACGTACGAAACTTTCGATGAACTGCAAATAATGTTTTTGTGCATTGCTAGTATACAATTCAAAATGTTGTTAAATCTTTTACGATTAGTTAAAATCAAAATATGGTAGGACTCGTTAGTTGTTTTTAACGATATGGTGGTTCATTATCATCTTATCTTATGGTTTTCAATCAGAAGACTTCCCTTCTTCCTGTCTTGAGCTCTGATCTAGAAATCTGCTTCTACTGCCTCTAATTCTTGTTTCTGCTTCTAGTATGTATCTAACTAAGCCCTTCTTGCCTGATAAGGTGTTTAATTTTTATTAGACTAACGTTTTCTTTCGACTATATTATTAACATCCAACGAAATTCAAAGTTCTGGTTGGAAATATTACTTTTTAAACGTGGTACCTACTGCTTATAACGATATCGGATATTACGACGAAAATAATATGTATAAAACGAACTCTTGAGCATAGTAAAAAGCGCCAGGGAAGTATGTATTATCCGTTATTGACTTTGAGTAGGATAATTACCTTATTACCTTCGGTTATAGCGAACAAGTTTAATCAGTCCCCGGAACGTTAATTTGTACTGTAAACTTCATTAGTCAACGTTTGAAAAACTTCTTTTCTTAAGGCAGTCCAAAAGAATTAAAAATTTTCAGTAGTTTCGGAAAAAAGGATCTATTTTCGTAATTTTTAAAATATCTTTTTAAAAATGCTATTTAAAATCACTTACGCTAGAAATGCATATGTCTTTCTCATATCAATGCTACCCCAAGATAGTTTTATAAAATTAAAACAAAAATACCTAATTTGGTTTCTCTTCAATATGCATGTATAATTAGGCATTTTAAGGTATCATCACATACATATTATAAGAGTAAACTGACTTTAATATACTATCTTACTTAATAGGTTTGAAAATTAAACTAAATGTTAACACAGGCGGGCTTCTCTTTCACCATGATCATTCTTCTTTTACAATATAGGACTTCTCTAATGGGCAGTTGAAATCTGCAATTAAGTATTCATAATGGTTTCTAAATGACGATGAGTTGATAGGCATCGTTTAGCATGTAAATATACATATAAGATAATGATCGTACTATATAAGAAAAACACGTCTAGTTTAAATACTAAAAAATCAAATTCGAAGTACTTACATTCCTGGACATTTTTTCAACCGAATTCAAAAAAGGGGTCCTCATGTATTGCATTTATCTTTTTATGTTTGAATCCTTTGTTCTTAATTTACATCTAAATGTAACTTCTTTTCTTTAAAGTAACAATTAGTAAAGATTATTTTCAAAGCTTATAAATCAGCAGAACATTTTGGTTATTTATAGGAACTGAAGGGTCTAAGAACTTTACAAATGAACGTCTGATAAGTATTCGACGTACGCCAGTCTATAAGTAGAAAGGTTTTGAATGTTAATAATAGAATTTAATTACTTAAGATTTTTCTACATGAACGCATTAAAAACTTTGTTCGCTTTAATCTAAACGTTAAAGTTCGCGAACACCATTTGCAAAAAGCACCTCTGCTATTGTTCCAGATGTTAAAAAATGTCCTTCACGGGTCCCGGTCCATCGAATGTAACAGATACAGTTCCTCAACCGAATTCACCCTCGATTCCTGCCGTCAACCCTCAACACAAGAAATTAAAATGAATGATGAAATATTTTGCTCACCGATTATGTATGATAATAGAATTTTATTTGGATGTAATGATAATAATTTATATTGTTTTTCAATTGGAAATGGTTGAAAAATAGGGTAAGCCTAGCGTTCACGGCCGGCGTTGTTTGAAGAGGGTTTGATATTTGGTTGTGATTAATATACAAAGGTTGTAGGGCAAAAAGCGTCTGCATGAAAGCATAACAAAAAGAACTGAAAACTTCAGATTTTCAGTATACTTGGAATTTCTATATTTTATAAGTATTTACCCCAAGAGTACAAGAAATATATTCTGCTGGAACCCGATGTATTTTGTTTATAAGCAATATACATTTTTATTAAACAAATAGAAAAATGTCCTATTCTTTATTTTGGAAGAAGGCATTAAAATAAAAAATAACCAATATATTTACGAAGCTTTTATTTTTATCCCAGATTCACGACAATTGTTTTAAATATCGGTAAAACCTTAATACCATCACCGAGGAGAGACATGTGCATATAGACGCCCTTCATAAGAAAAAAAAAATAAGTAAAACTAACTAAAAATCACAAGAAAAAGTCCTCTAGACGATATTAAGATCACCATGCAGATAAGCATTTAACTATAGACATTTTTGTGTTCTTATTTCTATCTTAGCTTGGAATGCAAAGCCAGTGACATACAATTATAGGTTTTTCCTCTTATTTGTTCATTTATTCGTATATAAAAAAAGACAAATACATCGGTACCTCCCTCATTCTTTAAAATAGATATTAATAATAAAAAAAGACTTTTGGATAACTAAAAATACATTCGCAATACATACAATTCTTTTCTTATTATCAATTCGTATCTGAAAATTTACTATTTAACGATTAGTTGCTACAATTTACTTGTTCTATTTCTCCTTATTAATCATTAATATTACAATATTATAACAACCTGCAAGCAGACTATTTTTAACATCTCAAAAAAAAACAAATAAAGCTTACATGTAATTAAATCTATTTTTGAGGTTTATTGAGTGGTAAATCAACTTTAAAACTATTATCGGAAATATTCAAACTTTGGTTTTTCATTAATTTCGTTTCTTTTTCAATTTGGATAAATGCAAAGCCTTGTAGCGTACAACGCCAAGGGCAAACCTTTAAGCTCGATTTATTTTATGTACTTATGGTAATAGTAGTGGGGCTTATATGGTGCAAAAAAATAAAGAATATCGGTAATAAAATAAAAAAAAAGTCCACTTATAACACAGCACCTTAAGAAAATTTTACTAAATTAAATTCGGTGGCGCAACGTTTATATTTAATTGTAATTATTTATATTAAACATAAATCCCAACAAACTACAGGATTGCATTATATCTGAAAGAGTTATATGGATGTATTGTATAAACATACATTTGGAAAATGCCATTTACTCATAAATTACTACGACAGCAGATTACGCACATCTTTCGTTTCATATAATTTTTTCATTTATATCGTATAATAATCAATAGTAATCATAATCTAGTATGTTGTAATAATTTGCATGTATTATGATAAAATCACGATGATAATAATAACTAAGAACAAATTAGCACCGTCAGTAGATCGATCGATTATTCTTCGTCGCCTAGTTCGTGCTTGATTTTCGAAAAGTCGAATTCTTCGCCGGTACCTCTTTTGAATATGTCCAATACGTCTAAACAGGTCGTTTCAAAATGCGTTGTTGCATCNTTCTCCTCCTACTTTTTCCCTTGCATACCAGTATTTTAGTTTTACTTTTATTTATTTTCATACAGTACTGATCTGTCAGTATCGCTTCCTCCTTGCTAGATGCTAATACTGCTATATCATCTGCAAATCTAAGCATACTTATCCTTTACCCCTGTACATCTATCCCTATAGGGTGTTAAATATATCTGATAAAAAGTGTATTTTATTTACTAGGAATGATATATCAATTTAATTTTTGGGACATGTTATTACGTTCATACAATCCCTGTAGCATTCAATCAGATAATTATGAGTTTTTAATAATTAGTGATTTTCATTGGTGAATAAAATATATTTATTAAGTATTTGCTGATGATTTTAGAAACTTGGTATTAAAATACATTTGGTGGATGTATTTGTAAGAATATTGTAATGAACAAATGTGCTCTGTTGTATACTTTTGACGAAAATTATGGAATTTTAATTAGACGGTATTTTACAATCCACGTCATTTAAATCGTTGCAAATAAGCATATTGTAACAGTATCCCGTTTTATTGTCAAATGCCCCAATTTATGATCTATAATAATAGCTATTTGTTTACATTCTGCGTACGTACAGATACACACATTTGATAGTTTCAGTTCAAAGTCAATTGTAAAACAGTTATTTGTCAACTTTATATTGTGTGTTATAAAATATCCGTATTTTAATAGGTGGGTGTCTTGTTGTAGTGATCATTAATATCTACATATTTACATGGCCATCTCCCCACTCAATTTGTGTGTAATTTATAATATTTTTAATTTATCGTCTTACGTAATTGTGGAAATAGACCACCCACATAAATCTTTACTCAAAAATTCAAAATTACAACAAGTATTAAAACACACGATAGATTAAGCATCAGGAACAAACCAAGTATTAGATACAAACTTATGATACGAAGTTTACCAACGAAAAATTAGACTGCTTACAATAATACGTTATCGTAAAAGTTATCTTCTTAGACTTTAAAGTTTAATATAAACACAAAAAAACTGTTTTACGAAGTAAAATCATTCTCTGCTTTATGAAAGTTTTGCGTAATGCAAAATATTAAGAAATCCCAAAAGTTCCTTTGTATAGGAAGCAGGGGGGGGGGTTGTTGCGACTCCGAAAAAACCTTTCAAATTTTATCAATTTTGACACCTTTTGGAACTTACTAAATTTGTTTGTTCTTTACAATTAGTTAAGAGTTTTTTAGTCGTAGTTTTTCAATTCAAACTTTCTAATATCAAAGCCTTTTTGGTCAATTTCTACGCACATGTAACGGAGTGTTATTGTTTAACAACTTTTTGTCAGTTGTTTCATTGGATAGTTGGCCACGCTAAAGTTGCCAAAGAAACGGACCTTTTCATGTTCATTTGTTTTTTTTGTGCACGCTTCGTTTGAGAAATGGATTTGTTTTAACGTAATTTACCGCAGTATTTACACACAAGTGGTAATAGGTACGTTTTTCTTTTCGAAAATTCGTGAACGTCAACTGTGTGGTGCTATCCAACGAATCATAACCACAGAATATGACAACGAAATCGATTGTGCAATAAAAATTATATAATAAAATAGATCAAACGAACATTCTCTTCACCTTGAATCACATAATTTAGACGGAGCCAGTCTACTTATTATATGTATAAGTACTACAACCATAACGTACATATGTATCTCTCTACGAAAGTTGTATACATAGACATTTATTATTACATAAATAACGTTTGTTCTATTACCTATTTTACAATGTCTATTTCTATGTACAACGGATCCGATTCAGTTCATAAACTGCAGCGATCGAATGCCAATAGCAAACCACATCCAAGTTGATAATTAATCTTTTGTTCGTTCTTTCATATGTACACGTCGTATAAATGCCGAATTTTTGGGCGAAAAATCAGGGGTGCATAAGATGATGGTTTAGTTCATCATCATCATCATCATCATAAGGTCGTCAGTCCTAAGATTGGCTGGACACGCACCTCTACTTTTTCTATCCTGAGCTAATCTTCGTACTTCCCTAAAACTAAAACATCCCACATCCTTAACTATTTGTGAACAATAATCTAATCTAGGTCTACCTCTACTCCTTTTAACTCCTGTTTCTGCCTCTAATATGTCTCTGACTAGACCTTCATGCCTAAGAAGATGTCCTACCAACTTATCTCGTCTATTTCTTATTGACTTCCACAGAGTCCTCTGTTTTCCTATTCTTTTCAGTTTCTGTTTTTAGTATGTCTCTAAGCAGGGGGGTTGTTACTAACCCATACCGCCTATTTCTTATTGAAATCCATAGTGACCCCTGCTGTTCAATTCTTCGCGACTTCTTTTTGTTGAAGGCTATTCGACCCTGTGCTATCCNAAGTGCTACAACCATAACGTACATATGTATCTCTCTACGAAAGTTGTATACATAGACATTTATTGTTACATAAATAACGTTTGTTCTATTACCTATTTTACAATGTCTATTTCTATGTACAACGGATCCGATTCAGTTTATAAACTGCAGCGATCGAATGCCAATAGCAAACCACATCCAAGTTGATAATTAATCTTTTGTTCGTTCTTTCATATGTACACGTAGTATAAATGCCGAATTTTTGGGCGAAAAATCACGGGTGCATAAGATGATGGTTCAGTTCATCATCATCATCATAAGGTCGTCAGTCCTAAGACTGGCTAGACACGCAACTCTGCTTTTTCCTATCCTGAGCTAATCTTCGTACTTCCCTAAAACTAGAACATCCCACATCCTTAACTATCTGTGAACAATAATCTACTCTAGGTCTACCTCTACTCCTCCTTACTCCTGTTTCTGCCTCTAATATGTCTCTGACTAGACCGTCATGCTTGAGAAGGTGTCCTAGCAACTTATCTCGCCTATTTCTTATTGACTTCCACAGAGTCCTCTGTTTTCCTATTCTTTCCAGTTTCTGTTTTTAGTATGTCTCTAAGCAGGGGGGTTGTTACTAACCCATCCCGCCTATTTCTTATTGAAATCCATAGTGACCCCCGCTGTTCAATTCTTCGCGACTTCTTTTTGTTGAAGGCTACTCCACCCTTTGCTATCCTCTATTTTATACGATTATTAACTGGTTCAGTTATTGAATTCAAATCATCCACTTTGGCATAGGTATTGATCAAGAAGAACTAGTCAATAAATCAAGTAAAATAGTATTATGATTAAATTATCTTAAAATAAATAATCTACGTTTATAATTAGTAACTGTAAGTATTGCTCTCACTCCAAAGAGGTAATTTAGCTGTTCTATTTCAATTAAGTTACTAAACCGCAGATCATTCATCTTCATTGACCAATATACCGATGAACAAACGTGCTGCCTTTTAATTAATTAACTTACAATTAGCACCTTCTGTAGCAGCTGTTGAAATATCTGCTTAATAGTACAGAACGCGCCAAAGATCGTAGCGATTGCATATATGAATATTTCCAAAGTTATTCATATTTTTAAGGTACAGCATACTATCAGTGTAGTTATAACTGTAAATTGATAAGATATGATATGATATTAGGTTTTGGATCTGTTGTGGTGGAATATTATTCCTTGTATATTTCAAATTATCGATCTGTGTCCGCTAAATGTAGGCATTATGTTTTGTAAAATTTAAATAAATTACGTTTTTAGTTATGTAGTTACCTTTAAAATTACACCTGGTTGTATCTGTGTTTGTTTTGGTAATCTGTATTTCGCAGAAACGATTTTACTTGACTGATTGAATTGAATGGTTCACCTTATCTACTCTGTGGAAGTATCGATGTTGCAAAATGATCAGAGAAAATTCTAGCAAGCTAGGAAAGAATAATTAAATATTTGCTATTCAAATTTTTACACTGTTTTGCAATTTAATAACCTTCAAAACTAACAATTAAATAATACATTTCTTCTCAGTTTGGATATGACTAAGCAAAGTGTAAAGGCACTTAAGGGTTGGAAGGTTTATGTTTGTATTAGGAATCAATACTGACGTTTCGCAATTATTTGGGAGATTTTAACAAGGTGGGTTCTTTACCATGATGAAGCTTCCCAAATAGAGGCGAAACGTCGGTGTTAGTTCTTCGCACACAATGTTAAGTGTCTAGAATCTTGTTAAATAATACAATTATTCTAGTATGGTTAAAGTTTAGACGATTATTTTTGTTAAAATGACATTTACCTACTGTACGTGTTTGATTAAATAAATGGCTTTTGACTACTTCCCATTAAATTAGTTGCATAATAAATAATTGTAAAAATTACTTGAATCAACAACATATGGAAAATTGCTGCTCTTTCTTTTCTGACTCGTTGTTAAACAGTTATCCACGTTAAGGTCAAGGAACTGTACCAACTCTTTCTTTTATTGTTGGGTAATCGTACAACCTGCTCTCTAAAACCCGGAACATTTGCAGCGAATTCCTGGGTCTCATAAAATACGGACGTGTTTTATGACCAATGCATATATTGAAGGAATTGTGACATTAAATTTTACCTTTTTCTCATAATAATCTTATCAAAACTATGACATAATATAAGGTAATGTGCAGATTGTTTTGTTTTTTAGTTCGCAAAAATGAGATTGTGGGGTCATCTATTAGAAATTTAAATTTTAAATGAGATTTAAGGACTGATGAGAGCCAATCCAATTTTTAATACATTCACTGTAAAACATATTGTATAAATAAATAATCTTATCTATAAATAGGGAAACTGGTTGAGATTATTTCTCAAATTTATTAAAAATTACGCTTTTTTTATATG